GAGAGACCCAAAATTTCACAGATTTTGATGGACTTTGGCGACTAAGAACCTGTAAAAGTTTCATCCTTATCCCACATTCCTATAGAAAGTTATTCCAGTTTTTCTTGTCCCAAACTCAACTGGGATATAGTATACAGCAAACACAAAAATCAATACACCATAACATTACTATTGAATGCAATATGCATTACGACATGTACAAAGAGTACATGTACATGTACATGTACCTAAGTTTATCTTCTCACCATTGTCTTGGTCTTTGGATCTTATTGAACCAACTGTTGAGTTGTTAGTTCTCCAGTCGATGAGTGACACATGAGATCTTGACCCGACGGCATAAAGATTACGCTCAGGCTGTATCTCAAGGCAGACGTTTTCATATCGATGAAACAGGTTGATGAATCCCAACTACAGTGTAATAATTACATGTACATGTACAGTACATACATGTACATGTACAAGTACAGTGACTTACATGTACATGTTAATTCATAATAACATATTAACACTACATGTACATGTACTTTGTACCTCTCGAAATGTTTGAGTGTCCCAGAAATGAACAGAGCAGTCACAAATGTTGGTCTGAAGTGATGCCAGGGTCTACAAGACAATAAAGTTGTAACCCATGTAAAAAGGAATTCTGACAATTTTTAGATTTTCCAAATTTTTAATCAATAAAGTATAATCATTATACATGTTGTTTTGTTGTGTAGAAAATAATTATTTTGAACTGATTCCAATCAAAATTGAATTTTTTAATAAATTTTCTAAGTTCCACAAATATTGGGCCAAAGTCCCTGTACTATAGTACAGGGTCGTTAGCCAAATTTCATCAAAATTGACACGGAGATAATTCTCCATTCTAATAATTTTTCTGATACATATACATGTTCTTATGCTGTGTAGAAATTTTGAGCTGATTCCGATCAAAATTGGATTTTCTATGAATTTTCAAAGTTGTCCCAAAACCTGTATCCTATCATCATAATGAAGCATAATGCTTTGGAATGGGGAAACCTGTGTACATGTACAATGTACAATGTACATGTATAATTGATTCATTCTCTATGCAACAAAATCATGTAAGGCATGCTGAACCTATAAACCTCTTTTAAATAACTAAAGGGCTCAAAAAGTACAGTGCACATGTACATGTACAGTACATGTACATCAATGGCGATTCAATGCCCACCATTATATCAATACTATCTATCACCATAGAGTGGCAGATCTCAACTTACATGCATGCGTCTGTTACAAACGAGACTCCTCACTTTGTTGCCAGAGACCGCCCGCTGGGTGACGTGGTTAGAGAAATGAAACAACATGTCAATGCTAGGGACGGACTCGGCCAGAGGATGACCGATGGGCCAGGGATTCATGAGAGACGAGAGAGACAGCCTCTCCTCCACTAGGAGGGTAGTCAGGTCCGGGACTTTCCATGCGGCCATTGTTGAATCTCGAGAACCTATTCGGACATGTAAACATGTTATATTATGTACATGTACATGTACATGTACCTGTAACAATTACATCATCAGATATCCAAGTCATATCAAATATCCAGTCTGTATG